GAGCCTGCCTGCGCAGTCACACTGAGAACCAAGTCGATTTTGAGACCGCCTGCGCAGTCACACTAAGAACCAAGTCGATTTTGAGACTGCCTGCGCAGTCACACTGGAACCAAGTCGATTTTGAGACTGCCTGCGCAGTCACACTGGAACCAAGTCGATATTGAGACTATCTGCGCAGTCAAACCAAACATTTGATAGTGCGGTCACACTGCCCACCACTCTTGAAAGCCATATCTGAGTCTTTTCGCTGTTTGCGACTGTGCGCCAGTGCGCACCACTTTTGAAAGCCATATCTAAGTCTTTTTGTTGTTTGCAAAGTCTTTTCGTTGTTTGCAACTGTGCGTTAGTGCGCACCACTCTTGAAAGCCATATCTGAGTCTTTTCGTTGTTTGCAACTGTGCACTAGTGCGCGCCATTCTTGAAAGCCATATCTGAGTCTTTTCGTTGTTTGCAACTGTGCGCCGGTGCGCACCACTCTTGAAAGCCATATCTGAGTCTTTTCGCTGCTTGCAACTGTGCACCAGTGCGCACCGCACTTGAGGGTCATGTCTGAGTCTTTTCGCTGTTTGTGACTATGCGCCAGTGCGTACCACTCTTGAAAGCCATATCCGAGTCTTTTCGCTGTTTGCGACTGTGCGCCAGTGCGCACCACTCTTAAAAAGCCATATCTGAGTCTTTTCGCTGTTTGCGACTGTGCGCCAGTGCGCACCACTTTTGAAAGTCATATCTGAGTTTGCAACTGTGCGGTAGTGCGCACAACTCTTGAAAGCCATATCTGAGTTTTTTCGCTGTTTGCAAGTGTGCGCCAGTGCGCACCACTCTTAAGAGCGATTTCTGAACAGTGTTATTTGCAAGGGCCATTTTCTGAACTATGTGCTATTCTCAACTGTGCGCAGAGTGCGCACCTTGATTGAGGGCCATTCTCAACTGTGCGCAGAGTGCGCACCTTGATTGAGGGCCATTTTCTGAACTTCGTGTTGTTCTTAATTGTGCGCAGAGTGCGCACCTTGATCAAGGACCATTTTCCGAACTTTGTGCTATTCCCAATTGTGTGCCGAGTACACACCTTGATTGAGGGTCATTTTCTCGACTTTGTGTTATTCACAACTGTGTGCCGTCATATCTGAGAACCATTTTTAAGTGTGCACTATATCTGAGGGCCGATTTTGAGTCCGCACACGTACTATTGACCAATTCTCAATTGATGACAATAGTGGTCCGACCGTAAGAGAAGGCCAAGTTTTGCACGCGGTAAACATCTTTGACTGAGTACTATAATTACAAGCAGTAATATAGTGGACCTATGCAAAGATCGATTATCATTTGATCAACATATTGAGCATAAGATTATTTTTAAGTGTGCGCCCACGAGTGCCCAGACCAGATATTATTTTTAAGTGCGCACCCGCGCGCGCCCAGACCAGCTATTATTTTTTTAAGTGCGCGCCCATGCGCACCCAAGCTTGGCATTGCAGTTAGAGTGCGCGCCCATGTGCGCCCAAGCTTGACATTGCAGTGAAAGTGCGCGCCCAT